TAGTGAGGGGGAGATGGAGTGCTAACTATTTATGGTGTATGTGTGGCTCCTCACAGGCCTCTTTTTATCTTTATACCACCTCTATGAGGCAAGGAGTTGTGGTTATCCCCATTTTACAGAGTGGGGACTGAGGAATTAATGCAGGGAACAGACATTGCATTTACTCCTGCATAAGTCATGCCTGTGTTTGTCCCTGAACAAAATATCCTGGGATTGCCATCACCATTCTAATCAGGGTTAAGTGAGTGACTGAATATACTGCTGGTTTTCTATCACCAGTTCAACATCCTCCCCCAACCACCTACCTGTCTCACACCTATTGTCTCCCACTCCCTCTGATCCCCACTACTGTAGATTTGCATTTTCACAGGCCTACATTTTGCATATTAGCTTCTTTTTCACCATGGAGAACACACAACACCAGCAGACTCTCCCTATGCCTGAAGAAGGGTGTTTGTGCCTGAAATCTTGCAAAGAACAATTTTTCCAACTATGTAGTTGGTCTAATAAAAGATATCACATGTACACCAAAAACCTTGTCTCTTGCTTTTCTACCATTGATTCAGTGCTGCAATCCTGGGATAACTCTACAGACATAGTCTGCAATATCCTAGGATAAATTATTATTATTCCTCCTGTTCAGGAAACTTTTTTAGAATTTATCCCAAGACAATGACCTGGACATCTGTATGGATGTACTTTGTCTTAGGGTAAAATAGTTTATCCCAGCTTAAATTTGACATCTGTTTGCAGCCTAAATGCATCTTTGATCTGGACCACAGAGACTAAATGATTTTCCCAAGGTCATTGAATAAGTCTGGAACAGGGAAATGCATATGGGTCTCTGAAGTCTCAGGTTCATGACCTAATACCGGCACCTTACTATAGTCTACATGATGCTATGGTTGTGTTGTACCCTGGAGAAGATATGCAGCAGTGTGGATGCACTTCCTATGCACTAGGAAACTCAGTGAGACTGACTGCAGTGCTCCTTCCATGGCTGTATAGCTTCACTCTGTCCCTAGGGTAAGACTGGGCTTAAATCCAATATAAGCCTCAATAGTTTAAATGTTTCTTTACTTTTATATGTTCATCTGCTTTAACTTCTCCCATCAAAATCCAAGAGGCTATTGGGGTCTCACCCCCCAAGCATTTTCTGTTCCTCCACTGAGGAGCTAGATTTGCTCAGTGAATGACGTGGGGAAAATATCTGATTACATTATGTTTTTAACAACGGTATTTATTTTCTCAAATTGCACTCCAGAGTTGTAGCCTCTTTTGAATGTGGAAATAGGAAACATTTGTCATGCTAACAACATCAAGTGATTCAAAAGGCTTCTAAACCCTTGGACAAACAATTACATAGTTTAAAAAGGGGTACTGAGACTTCCTGCTTGTGTGCACACACACATGCTGATCTGGTGTAACTGTTTTATCTATCCATGCTGTACTACAGTAAGGGAAATCAGATTGTGGCATTTTAACCCTGTTTCATTTAAGGTGTAAGCACATTTAATTTCTGTTTAGTAGGGATAGGAGTAGGTAGATGAAACAGTTCTAGTATCTTCAGCAGAACTGTAGGAAATCCCTAAGTCCCCACTTAATATGGAATAATTTTCATCCATCTATACCCTGAGAATTTTCTGGTCTTGGGAATCTAGCTAAGGTTTAAATACCAACATTTCTTTAAGTTTAGTAAAACCAACATGTCAGAAATTCCAAACACTCTCAAATAACAGTCTTTTGCAGTTTAAGACAGTTATAGGTTTCCCATGGCCCACATTTATCTGTCCAGAAGTGGTAATTTAGCCATGGTACAATACAAAACACTGCAGAAACTTGATTAATATTTGTGGTTTCTGCACTGCAAGTAGAGCAGCCAAGACTGCAACATCTACTTGCATTTGTTCCTGTTGTTGTTATGGGCTTAAAAGCAAGAAGATAGGTGATTAGGTTGCATAGCATAAATGAGATCCAGAATCTGTCCTGGTACCTTTGGGACTGGAATTTGGATAATTTACTATCTATTTATCTACTTAGCTAGTTAGCTAGTTACCTACCTAACCAATGTTTCAAGGAGAGAGTTCCATTTTGGGAAACCAAACATTTTATAAATACGTATTTTGAACATTTCTGATAATGGGAGGATTGTAGCCTTCCTCCAAATAAATTGATATGATAAGAGAACCAGGCCTAAATTAAATGCAAATCCGTGGAATGTAATCTATGAACAAAGGCATCCAAAATATGGCAGATTCACTTGGCAGTGAGACCCAAAGTTACACATGCCATCCATGAATATATATCAAACAGCCCAAATGACACTTTGCATCCTGCCAAAAGTCCTATAGTTAGAGGCTATCATCATAGTAAGTCCAATGGGCAAGAAGTATGCAGGTAGCTTAATAGTCTTCTTGTAGAATATATTATCAGTAATGCCTAATAACAAGAAATGTTACATATAAACATGACATCTGTGAAACATACATAAATCTGCATTAAAAACTAGCAAAATACTCAAGTCAGGGGGTCACTGTGTGTGTACAGAAGGTTATGGACAGTTATATGTATATATTGGGTGTGACACTATCATCTTACATCTTTAAAAACATGATTTAATGTCTCATTTAATTTGTTGTTTTGATGTACATCTTAAATGTTGATTCTTAAAAACTAATAATTAGAGTACTAACATGTACTCTAACGTTAGTTGTACATTACTGGCCCAGTTCCGTAGCTTTGACTTCTAATTTAGATGATATAACATCTCACTAAAGACAATAGACATATTTTCTGAAAAAGGACTGCAGGACTGGGCAGGATAGAATCTATAATGTATTTATTTTGAAAGAGAGAGAGAGAGAGAGTGAGAGAGAGAGAGAGAGAATTTCTTTATTAATGAAATGAGGAAATGCTGGAATTTTCCTGTTGTTTTACCTTTCAGCTATACCCTATCCTAAACACTCTCTTTCTCTCCCTCTCTGTACCAAAATTACATTAAAAAAATTAATTTCCTTTTAAAATGGATGTAGATTTGGATTCTCAGTTGAAAAAAGTACCAGACATGAGAATTCTGATTTCTTCAAAGCCTTCAAAGAAAAAAAACAGCTATTTGGGAGGAATTCTCAGATTAAATCTTAGGAAACTGTATTAATATCAGGAGCAAAGGGATATTTACTTATCCATGAAAACCAGTATGGGACACCTCTCACTCAATTCCCCCTTTCTATAGAGGAAGAATTATACTGCTGCTCTTCTTTATTATGTATAAGTGTATGTCTCATTGGAGCCAACATACTACAGCCCATATACATATGCATACAAACAGAAATAATAATACTGTACTAATAAATAGTGACATAAATGCTTCATCAGAAAAGCATATAAATGGAAAGCTGCAGTGACTTACAGGTCCAAGATTTAAGGAAATGATCTTCATTTTGCTATAGAACTAGTCATGGCATTTGTATTTTCTCTGACATAGTCTTCTTCTACAGTGGAACAGCAGAAGCTCATCCTAGCATTTGAATAAATTATCCTCTAGGTTCAGAGCCAATAGATGTTAATGAATGTTATATATTCATGTGAATCACTGCCTCTGGGTCTGATACTGCAACATGCTGTTGAAGTCAATTGTACTACTCCCCTAAGTATGTGTTTCTCAGTGTAAGTAACAGTTGCAAAGTCAGGCTCCACAAGAGCTAAGTGATCATCAAATAACAAACTAGGAACTTAAAAGTTCTTAAAAATAGATTTTAATATCTCAAATTGTTTTGCACTACATTGCAAAAAGCTGATTCCTCAATGATTTTCAAATCTAGGATGAGTCAACAAAAAACCCTAAAATAACCACCAGTATTTTATAACTGTCAAAACTGCTTATGTTAACAAAAAAAACTAACCCTTTCAATTTTGAGCTGGACTTTCAATACAAAACAGTGAAGGATTTAGAAGGTTAATCGATTGTTGGCTGAAATAAAAAAGTCCTTACTTTCACTATGCAGTGTATGGTATAATGCCGTTACATAATATGCCATTTACACATTGACACTGCATTAACTTTTTAATATACCACAAAATCTGAGTTCTCATCTGATTACTCTGAAAGCACATAAAATCTGTCTTTATCTAATTTGATCTTTCCTTCCATATATGATCCTGTCACTGACAAGTGATGAGCAAAGACCAGCCATCTGTTCCTTAACTTCATTATTTAGAGTAAATATGTGAAATAAATTAGAGTAGCTCCTATAAAAAATGCAAGGCTTGTTTTGCAATTGTTGCTCCTTTGTTTGAAAAGCTTTACCTTAATGGACTCAGTTTTCCAGTGCGTGAGGAAGCAACTTAATTCCTGAGTTCCTGCAGTACTGAATCTGAGGGGAGCCTGGGCAGGAGTGAGTCACCCCTAGCCCTCCCACATGCAGCATAAATGACAATTTCCCATTGGGAAGCCAGAACCCTTGACTGCCCCTGTTTGTTTTCCTCATCCCACATCCTGGCGCCTCAGGTTTAATCTGCCTGATGAAAACAGGCAGCAATTTGCTGAGAAGCAGCAGCTACCTACTGGTCTTTGGCAAGTGCCCCATCTCTCTGTGCCTGGCTGGGGTCCTTCTCGGCTCTCTTCACTCTCCCTTTTTCCCAGTCATCTTCTCCCTCCCTCCTTTTGTTGTGCAATGACCTCATTCATCCCAACTTTCCTCTCAAAGTTGTGGCCCTTCCCCTGCTCTCCGGGATCCTGGAGGTTATTATTTATTGTTATTGCCAATCCCCCCTTCCCCCTCCTGGGGATGTGTCAGAGCATCCGAGGGCAGGGACAGAAAGGCAGCGCTGGGGGAGGCAGAGGCGGGCAGGGATGAGGTGCAGATGGACTGCAGATGGGAGCTGTCCACGCGCGGGAGTGCTGAAACGCCGCAGCCGCGGCATTGCAACAAGGAAAAATAAAAGGGGGGGAGAGGAGCTGCTGCAAGAAGAGGGGGGGGGGAAAGAGGAGATCCAAATACCTTCACAGAGGCAGGCAGCCTTGCCTAGGGGTATTTTTCCTGCAGGCGTCCTCGCAAGATCCCCGTCTTCCAGGTTCAGCCTCAGATCTCTCTAGAAAACTGTGAATGAGAGAGCACCAGCTGCACGGGGCTATGAATTTTTGGTAGGAGGCGTGTGCACCAAAGCCTCTGTCCTTCCCCGGTAGCTGGCGTTCCCCTGGGTCCTAACTGCCTCCCTTCAAACTTGGTCCTCCAGCAGGCGGATTCAAGATGAGGACGTAGGATGCGATTCTGTGACAGATGCTTTCCAAAGGAGCTGTGATTCTCTCACTGAAGGCAGGCTAGGAATGCATGGCAATAGCATACTGCTTCCATGTAAGAGCTTCTGTGCTGTCAAACACAGCATTGAGATCCTGAAAGATGGATTTATTTAATTTAATTTTTATTTTTATTTTTTTGGTGACTCAAATAAGCAGCATGAGCTACACTGGGCTGATTCAGGGAAAGAAGGGAAGGGGAATCCATTTCCTTTTATTTTCCTGACTGCACCTTTCCTGGTAAGTGCAAAGCTCCTGAAAGCTCTGGTTCCTTGCTCTGCAGAACCATGGCTGTGATTCTGTCCAGGAAATCTAGGCCTATCACAGAGAAAGCAATCCTCATTCCTTCCCCCCAGATACTTTACTATCACTGGCTTAATGCATGGAGACTTTATAGGTCCACTGGTTAATATTATACAGAACTAAATTCCCTTCCTCCTAAACATTTCTCTTTCAGTATGGTGCCTTATAAGGCCTTGCCTATGTGAGAAACAAGTTTGCATGTATTCTGTTGGTACAGTGTAATTAACAAATAATTTTGACAGAGTTCGGTCACAGGTCCTTGTGCTGAAAATTTTAGCAGCAAAAAGCATGTTGCACTGTCCTTGATAAACAGTGTTTGATAGACAAAGGTGCCCCACCATGTGGGAAGTTGTTGCTATGTATTGTGGGGCAGCCACTATATGCTGTGGGATGCTTACAGATTTTTTTAAGAATCACAGGGAATAGGGGTCAGATGTTTCTCATTGTTTCTGTTCTATCTGATAATCAGTATCTCTCCAATGGCAGTCATAAACTTCACACTGAAAACATGCATACCACAAGGAATGCATCTCTCTTCTCCATTGTCAGTTTAAAGCATCTGATGAAGTAAACTGTTGCTTATAAAAGCATATGCATCTATGATTTAATTAGTCTATAAGGTACAAATCTACTCTACCTTCTGCCTAACTTCAAACTAACATGGCAACTACCTCTCTGCTTAAGAATAAAGCTACAATTCTCTTCTGTTGGTGTGGAAGCAGAACTGAGACAAACTCAGCTGGCTATTGTTTCTGGAGGCTATGTTGTACAGCTCTTTGTGGAAAAAATTATCTTTGTGGCCTCACAGCTTAGGGCCCATTCAACAAACGTTGAATGGTAGGACTGAATTCTGATGCGAACTGGAGACAACTCCAAATTTTCAGATGCAGAAGGGTATGTTCATGGAACTGTATGCTAAATTCTCTCCTGTCTTGCAGTGCAAAAACTTGAGTAGAGAATTGTCCTTCCACTAAAGAGGTAAATAGTGCTGACTGTGCAGAAGTTGCAGTTGTTCTCACATTACAAGGCCAAATTTTTAGCCATACTGGACTTTCTGACAAACTGAAATTAAGGGCTGAAAGTTAACCCCCACATCACCCTTTCTCCAAGTTCCCCAGCTAAGACCCAGTCTTCCTCTCTCCCATAATAGCTCCAAAACTCCTCATCCTTTTCTCCTTGCCTAGTCATAGTGTCCATGGGTGACTGGTGCCTTGACTTGAGTCCGGGGGGTGGGCACGTGCTCTTGTCCTCCTCTTTGTAATTTCAGATTACCCCCACCTTTCCCCAGTCACAATCTTCTCTCTTTTCTCCTAAGTCTCCTTGAACAACCAGTCTGTATCATCTTGTGCCAGTTCTCCAGATTGTGATCTTTTCTCTTCCTTCCAGTCACTGTTTCCTTCTGATGTCCTTGACCACATATTTTTGCTCAGTTAGTGTATCCTCCCTTGTCTCTGATTTCAGTGTGCCACTGCCATTTAGCTCCCCATTCTTTAACCTCTAGCTTATTGTCCTTGCTTCTTTACCCAACCAGCCCCAGTCCCCATCCACAGGTTCTAGTTTCCTCCATCAGCAATGAGCATGAAGACAAATGTAGAATTAGTCTTCAAAAATTTAGCTGCCAAATTCTTACTTTTCCCTACTGGGAATGTATAAACTATGCTTTCTCAAAAACTCATAACTTGACCAAATTTGGACAGTTTTTCCTGTGGATGGCAAGAAGTATATTGCTAATACCAATAAGTCCATCTCAAAGTCTGAAGTCCCTTTGCTTCAAAGAATGAAGGATCTAGAGCTTGTCAATAAAATAATGGTGAGGATGTTTGCTATGCACATTTTCAGAAATGGATGAACCATCTTTGGTGTATCTTAAAAAATAAACCAGTCTTGAAGCAGACCCTCACCTTGAAAAATTTCATCTCAAATGATTAGTACTTACTAGTTGAAAACTGAAAATAGTGTCTTATAATGAGAAATGTTGGGTAATTTGAAGTATGAGCAGTGTCACCAGTCTTGCCTAAAATTCAGAAATTATTTTGATTGACATGAAAGTGACAGCTTTTGCTTCACTAGCCAAGGAAGTGAGAAGGACTCAGGAGGTGGGGGGGAGGGAAGGAACTGCCCCCTACTTTTACCTTAAAATGCTATCCAGGTTTAAAACTGGGACAGCAAGTATTTTGCAACCTCTGACCCAGCCTCATGGGGCAGAAGAAATAAATCAGCTTCTTCCAATGACAGGGCAGGCAGCTCCACAGCAAAGCACCTTCACAGTTCTCTAGATCAGTGGTATCAGCAGATATTTAAATTCTTTAAAGAGATCAGTTTTGAGTTTTCATTGTTTTATTTTTATCATCCTACTGCAAGCTTCCAGTTCTTGTGCATATGATAAAGATTAATATACTAGTTGCAGTAACATGGCAGTACTCTTTGGTAATTGTTAATAATATTAAAACACAGTGCACATGACTCTATAGATCAGCTCTACTATTGGTCAGCCTATTGCGTTGGCTCTTAAGTGGTCTCAAGGTTTTGCTGCTGTTTGCTGTTTTTTTGTCCTCAGGCCCTTTAAATTAAAGTTACCCCTGCTAGACGACCAACAGACTGCAAACTCCGCTTGTGATCCAAGATCCAACCCTGATTCTTCCCATTTTGTGCATTAGCACCAGTAATTAAGATTTTCCAGACCAAATTATGTCCTCAGTGACACCTCTGCAGTGCAGTGGCCTTCAGTGGATGGCTTTGTTCATAGGTGTTTGGAGCTTACTGAACTATTCTGTTGATGGTGTTCAAGGTGGAATACAATCCTGTTCTCAGACTCATTTATTGTGCTGTCTCTGAAGGGTAATGGAGCAAAAAGCAGCAAAAATGTAACATTTGTCACTGAAGCCAGTAGAGCTGACTGAATATACACAAGCAGATTGATTTAGCAGGAAGGTGCACGTTTTACACGGTCACTTCTCACAGCAAATGAATGTATTGATACTCAGCTTACTATAGTCTGGCTATTGCTATTTTCAGAGACATCTCTGCTCTGTTTCAATAGAAAAACCTGTGAGGCAAGAAAGAACTTTGACTATAAGATATATTTTCACTACTAGTAGAAATGCTATTCCAGGGCATAGGGATGTGAACTAGATTCACTTAAGGCTGTAAGAGGGGAAGATCTGGCTGTACATTTCAAAGGAAAGAAAAAAAATAAGTGTAGCAGAAACTGGTTACCCTCTTGTTAAAAGACAAAATATTTATTTTCATATAAATAGAATTAGTTATTAAACTTCTTGCCAATCTATATTTATGTAATAGGCAACCATCAGTGTATGTCTCAATTTAAATGTCATATGAAGCCTTCAATTACACCCTGATTCAATTAACATTGTTTGCCAAGCTCTCAAAGCCAAATGTTTAAGATGCCTAATGCTTACCAGTTCTACTGGCAGTTAGGTGCTAAATTACCTTTCAAAATCTGTCCTTCACTGACTTCCAGCAGAATTGTATCTGTAAAGTGTTTCTCCATAGCTTATGTAGCCATGCCTGTATTTTCTGTGCTGTTCACTTTAATTCACTGCTATACAGAGGATCAGCATAAAATCTCAAAGGGTTTATAAAAATTATCAAACAATTCAGAGTTGAAGGAGTTAAATATTGCAAAATAAGCTCACTCTTTTTCTGTATTGATTAGAAGCAGCTAGGGATTTTCTGATGAAATTTTTTTTTGGCAGAAAATGTTGAATCATCAGAATTGATTTTTTTTCATAGAAAAGTACCTAGTAGTGTTGACCAGAGTGACATTTGTGGTGGAAAGAAAAGGGAAGGACCTCCCTCTCCCCCCTGACACACTTCCCTGCCCCCAACTCAACAGTGACCAACAGACCAGCGGTAAGGGCACTCATCTGGAACGTGGGAAGAACAGACGCAGACTATGACCAAAAGCCTTATCTTCCTATATTGTAAGCGAATGCTATAACTGCAGCTAGACAACAGAGGCTGTGGATGGATATTGATTTGTAGTCCAACAAATGCCTCAGCACTTTATAGTGCTATAAAAACAGAGGGGCACATTCACAGCCCTGCTGGTTGGAGAGCTACAAAGCTACCTCAAAAACTAGGGGATAAGTGTGTGTTCCTTTGCTTTCCCACAGGTTGCTCCTTCAGCAGCCTGCCAGTGAGCCTGCCAGTGCCAAAAGGATGGCAAGGAGAGCTTCTGCTCCTCCACGACAGGGCAACACTATCTACCTAAGAGCTGGCTGCCCTCTCCAGGAGGGCAGAAAGGAGAGCCAGTGCTACCTGGTGCCCTGGTAGTGGTAGCAGCTGTCTCTGCTCCTGTGGCCAGTGAGCCAGGTATCCTTAGGGCCCTAGTACTAGCAGTGTCAGGCTTCTCCCCTGTGGCTGCAGCCAGGACACCAGCTATCTTTGAGGCCCCAGCAGCAGTAGTGGCAGCTATATAAACCATAATACTACAGAGTAGGTCTAGTTTCAAACAGGAGCATTTTGTTAGTGCTGTTGTCATTTTTGTAAGATGGGTGCCATTTTTGTAATACTACAGAGAATG